TACATCCTTAGCAAGGCATTTGACCAAGAGCAGGTACCATCAACTTATTTAGCTTATCAAGTTGAACGAGATTACAATGAATTGAATGAAATGTTAAATAAAAATTATAGTAGTTCGCATAAAATACTGGGAGAGTTTTCATCGTAACTGAAACAAATTCCCTGTTCAGTTAACGCCAGTCCCTCATACCAGGGGCCTCGGTGTTTTTAGTGTCTTTTAAACGTGAAGAGCATTTGGGCAACCACGTTCCCAGGCCCTTATGTCCAAGCGAATGCATAAAGCGCTCCAATCTCCCCACCCCTCCCTTAGCTTGTAATGTTTAGATTCGATTCTTACTTACAGGTGTTTCCATTGGGYCATCTTCTCGATCCAGAAACCATGGGAATATGGCTATGGGTGGTGCCAGAGAAATTCAAAGACAGCACAGGAAGAGAGTTCACAGTAGTTTTGATGGATTCTGAAGGCATCGATGCAGTTTCCAGCAAACAATCTGATGATCACAGGATATTTACTTTGTCAGTTCTGTTGTCATCCATCATGATTTATAACTCTGCTGGTGTACCAAACAGATCTGATCTTGAAGGATTGGAGTATCCTTGCTTACATTCATTTTTTAGAGGCTTTTAAAAGAGAGAAATGTGTGTTTAACGTAAGCTAGTGTAACTAATACAATTGGCATGGAAACGACCATGGCATGTACCGACATAGCAATGAAAATAAACATATGGTCTTTCCGACACTAGTGCAACGCTCCTACGTCGAAATCCTTTGATATAAGTTCACGATTTTTTTTATTTATTCATTTTTTTTTCACGTAACAGTTTTAAAATTACCTTTTGAAAATGCACCGCGGCAACAGCCCTGCAAAACCATTTTTAAATTAAAATGCAGGATAGTAACGTCTTGAGAACATTGATTAGAACTGGAAGTACTTCAGCTTTTGTGTCCAGGAAGACACAGTCACTGGGAGAGGAAAACTGCCTGAAAGAACACTTTTGTTTATAAATCGGTCACAAGCCAGTGATACTTCTCCATAAGTTTGATATCATTTCTTTGCCTTTAGAGATCAATGTTATTGCACTTTAACTTGTAATTCAGCTTCATTGTCAAATTGTCCCAACGCATACAGCTGCACACCAAACAGCAGCCCACCGATGATCAGCATTTCTATGAAGCCTTTCCTTATTTTGTCTGGCTGTTGAGAGATGTGGTACTTGATCTTCCTACAGGATGCAAGACGATTAAGGATTACTTTATAAAAAATGTAAGGCCCAGCTCAGACGTCGATCTTTTGTTGCGACGAATCAAATTGCTTGAGTTGAGTTTATGAACATTTCGTACTCTGAATTCATTTACATTTAGGAAGATTTTGCTAAGGTATGCTGACNAAGAAGAACTTGGAAGACCAGCGCGAACAGCTGACAAACATGATGGAGGCAAACTTTGAAGAGCAAAGAAAAGACAGAGAAGCTGCCTTGGCTCGTCAGAACACCATGGAAGACATTATCGACATGATGAAATCATCACTTAGAGAAAAGGAGATGGAGGAGCAAAGAAAGGAGAGAGAAGCTGCCTTGGCTCGTCAGAGCGCCATGGAAGACATGGTCGACATAATGAAACCATCACTAGAGAGTATAGACATGGAAGACATGGTCCGCATGATGAAATCGTCACAAGAGAGTAGAGAAAAGGAGATCGAGGAGCAAAGAAAGGAAAGAGAGAAAGCTTTCTTGGTTCAACAGAGCACCATGGAAAACATGATCGACATGACGAGGTCGTCGATAGAGAGTAAAGATAAGGAGATACAAGCTATGAGATCAATGGTAGAGAGTAGAGGTAGGGTGATAGAAGAGCAACGAGAGGAATCTGATCGATCATGCTTAATTCAATAGATCGGACATGTACAACAAACTGATCAAAACAGAACATTACTAACTGCAATAAAAAATGGAATATTTGGCACAAATAGGATTTTTTTTGTTTTCAATGCCTCTTATTATGGATTTTATCCGTGTATTTGTTGTTTTCTTATTGTCATAACCTGATCAACATCAGACCTAGATGTTTCATGTCTAAGGTCATGTGCCATTCCCGGATATGGGTTGTCGGTATATACCAATCACGTGACCGGAGTTAATACAGTCTAGACAATATGTACTAATCGTGTCATTTTTGTACTTTATACTAGTTCAGTGATTTTACATTCACTAGTGCAGTGATTTTACATTCCTTATATAAGAATATATTCCATATTGTAATCATACTGCGCATGGTTAGGAATAGGGCGTAGCCGAATTATTACCATCTCCACTGCTGTCCGATCTCATTCTGGGACAGCACACCAACCTGATTGCTCAAAACGTCCTCCTCCTCCCCTTGCCTGTCCTCTCTGATTTAAGGCGGCCTTTTTTGTGCCCACACCTTTACTGGTCCGATATGACTTTAGCTGTTGCAATCAATTTAGTTAAATATTAAATGAGTTTTGTTACATGTAATTATTAAACATAGTCTTTGAGGGTTATTCCCTCATAACCATTAACTCCATACTGTCTATTTCTTTGGTTAAGACCAGCAAACGAGCTGGGGAAGTGCAGTAACAAATGAGAGATAAATGATGGAGTGGCATTGAAAATATAAATAGTCATAAATTAAATATCTCAGTCATAGTTATCTGTTAGCCTTTGTGAAAGGGTTCATTGTCAGATATTCAGTCATAAAAATACCAATAACAGCATGAACTAAATGTATGTGGAATATATTAAAACCAACGAGCATTCAAGCGTTTTGCATTTATCTTTAATGAGACATTTTTCTTGAAGGAAAAGAGCCAACAAGTACTTTTAATCCAGTGCTTTTGTGAGATCATTTTCTATCGCTGAAATACAGTACCTTCCTGGCTTCAAAGGCTCTTCTGCATCTCTCTCTTCTCCGTGTAAAAATATCTTCTTCGTAGAAGTCTCGGGAACCATAAACAAGGAACAAAACCGGTTTTACTTGATTTTTACCTCCCACTGAGTTTTTTCATGGAATCGAAGTCCGGAAAGATACAATATTCCTACAGNTAAAAAAAAACAAAAATACTTCAACTTAGACAGTTACAAAGCTGATTCGAAAATTGTATTCTCCAAAGAGGTTTGGTCCAACTTCAAAGGTATTCTGTTTGAATATACCAAAGTTAAAAAAAAAGTTATACCAAAGTTATTTAAGTCGAATAAATCCAAAGTTGTTTCCCTGTTAATGAATTCATATTCGACTGTCTTCGGCAGATAGGACAAGTTTCGGATCACTGCATCTTGCAGATATTTTACATAAATGATATACAGAAGCAGTTAATGGGGGGAGGGAGAGGACAGTTTTGTTCGTTATTTTTAATCGGGTATTTAAACCTCCTTAGTTTTCCTAGTCTTTTGTTTTTGTGTATAAACTCYTAATTAGACTAACTAAACCCTCAAAAAATTGTTACGGCAATCGATCGATTGATTGAGTACATGTTTCTCAGGAACTTTCATAACTTGCTTTTCCCATTATTACTATTATCAAGTGCAGGCGACAAGTGCGATGGCAAACAATCAGGATAAGCTCGCCACACCCCTCGTTCTACCCAATAACTGTAACTGGGACRASAAGACCGGAAAATATACCACGAAACCGAATGTCGAACGTCAAACTCTAATCGTGGTTGATAAAGCATTAGATCAACTGCGAGAAATCAAGGGTCATGTATGCGTGGTTTCCATTGCTGGTCCTTGCAGAAAGGGGAAATCGTACATCCTTAGCAAGGTGTTTGATCAGGGAAAGGTATTATTCTTATAGATTTATACAGCAAGTGTCAAAGTTCCATGACTACTCTCTAGTATGTCATTGGTGGAGAGTGTGAACGTACCACGAGATTTTACTGTTCCTTGGCTCAGAAGTGGGAATAATGTAAGCTAAAAATCGATAAAAAGTCAGTTGGAATGAGCGCKCGCTAGAAAAAATGTATTCAAAAGTCAGGAAATCTTTCAAAATACTATACTTGAAGAGCAAAGACATTAGAAAGAACACACACCTTAAAACCATCAGCACCAASGTTGCGATTCACAACTAAATATTTTCTCTTTGTGTGCAGGTGTTYCCMYTGGGTCATCYTATGGAWCCAGAAACCATGGGAATATGGCTATGGGTGGTGCCAGAGAAATTCAAAGACAGYACAGGAAGAGAGTTYACAGTAGTTCTGWTGGATTCTGAAGGCATCGATGCAGTTTTCAGTAAACAATCTGATGATCACAAGATCTTTACTTTGTCAGTTCTGTTGTCATCTATCATGATWTATAACTCTACTGGTGTGCCAAACAGATCTGACCTTGAAGGCCTCGGGTATCCTTGCTTACAATTTCAATATTACATCATCAGTCACTTTGATTTAATTTATTTATTCCCTAAAAATTGAGTTAACTGTCATATTTGTGAACAAATAGTTGCACTTTAACTTRTGATTCAGCTTTATTGCCAAACTGTCTAAATGCATTCAACTGCAAACTGACCAATCAACCACCGATGACCAGCAATTCTTTGAAGCTTTTCCRTACTTCATCTGGCTTTTGAGAGATGTGCTGCTCTCTCTCCCCGAGGAATGCAAAACGTTGAAAGATTACTTCCTAAAAAAAGTAAGCATTAGTAGAACTCTGATTATCAACGGCTACAAAAACGGAAAGTTTTAATTGCAAATAAACCTTTTTYCCAAAAATAATTACATATCAAATATTTAAATGCCTTTCTAAAACCGCTCATTTAAAGCCTAGAGACAATAGTTTGTCGCTCGTTGCTAGGTTCCTAAGGATTATAGCCCGCGTAGTGGTTCTAAGGGAGACTATACCCTTCCCTACAGCCGCTACGCAGGTTACAAGAGTTAATGTTACTAATCAAGCTTGTGCTTCTGATATGGGTCTTCTTCTTGGTTTGTTTTTGTTTGTTCTTTTTGCTTTGCATGATTACTTATCCACCGCMAAATGTTCTTGTAAGGTTCTCAACTGCRAAGCTGAAGGATACACAGAGATAGCCAAGAAGACCGCTGAGAGCATTTTGAAGTATTTTTCAGGATTTGATGCCTGTTCACTTCCTCTTCCAACTGATGATGAAAAGGTAAGTTTTTAAGTTATATTCTCCAGTTGGAGCGTAGTCCCTTAATAGAAAAAACATTCTATTACCTACAGACCTTTTATGGACTCAAATCTGTTAAAAGTTGAATGGGAGTCACGAAGGATTTAGTGCAGTTTTTAATTCTAATTTAAACTTATCCACAAACAATAATAACTTATCATTATTGGTACATATGTAGGCTATAAAGAATCTCGACGATGAAAAATTCAAATCTCAAATARAACCAAAATTCTTAAAACAAGTCGAAGACTTCAAAGCTGTCCTTCACTCGAAGCTGTCACCCAAGACGTCTATCAACAAAGGAGAGTTCGTCACTGGCGAAGGTAAAATGTCATTAACGAACAAAAYTGGATAAGAATAAGCAACAACGGAAATTGAATAAATTTCCACAAAATATTAACGATTGTTGAAAACATTTTGTTTCTGTTTTACTAAGAAATTAAAAGGTACATTTTTCATAAAGTTTGCTTCATGTATTAGCAATAAAAATAGTTTCTGGTCTTTCGTGTTTTGAAACTTTTTTCTTTATAAAATTCCTTTTCAGCGTTAGCAAAACTGATCCAACTGTTCGTAGATGCACTCAATACACCTGGTGCTGTACCCAACGTACAAAACGCCTGGGACACATTTGTACAAACCAAATGCAGCGAGGTCTTAGCTGATGCTGTGAAGGCATACGAACAGGAAATGACGTCATTCGTCGAGAAGGAAATTCCTTGTGAAGCCGATTTGTTACGATCTGTGCATGACAACGCCATGGAAAAGTGCCTTGAAATGTTCCACGATGAGACTTTTTCGTTTTCTACCAAAAGTGTTGACAAGTACTTAAAAAAACTGACGGTAGGTAACGGGGCGTACACAAATTATTACACTCTTTGATCACTGATGAAATTTGAGCCGCCATTAAAGGTCCGACAACATATGGAAGTGGGTTTGTTAGAGGAACTAATCTTATACGGTGCAGAAAACATTCATTTTGTCCTTCCAATTTTAGTTTTAGTTGTTGTATTGAAGGGAACCAAATTCAAGACAAATTCAATTACCTCCTAAAGTTTATGAACTCATTGTAGATTTACTTTTGGTTTATTACAACATGTACAATAGGACAAAACCAATTTCACCTTCTCATCGTGGCTTGAGAAGAACAACAGAGAAACAGAAACCTTTTGCACTCAGCTTATCAAAGAACTCAAGCGAACCATCCTTGACCCGGTCCTTGCTCGCCTTCGTAGTCAAGAAGGATCCAAGATGCAGTTCAGTGACATTGTTGCTGCTTACAATGAAATCCAGCAAAAGTATTCCAGCAACGCTCGTGGTGCTAAGGATGTCCAGGCAGCGGTGTTTATGAACTTCCATCCGGTAAGAAATGAATAACCACTTTAAATATTCTGCTTGAATAGCCATAAACAAAAGAACTGCAGACGAGGCTCAGAGGAAACAAAAGAATTATCTATTATGAGTCTAGTCTTCAATTCTTGTGTCAGTGGTTAATCACTCAAAATATCTAAAGCGGGCTGTTGTTTAGTTCGAAAGAGCTGTGTACTACAATTAAATCACTGTCTCAAATAACATTTTCAGGAACTTCAAAAAGAAATGGAGCAACACATCAAAGTCTTGGAACAGATGAAAGACTATGACGAGTCCCTGGCTAAGGAAAAAGCCGCCAAAGCTGCTTCGGAGGAAGAGAATCAGAAGATTAAGGTCAGCTAAAAATAGATGCGAAATTTCCTCGAGGGGACCATGGCCATAGTTTTCAGACCAGCTGATTTCAGTATCATTATAAGATTGAGTCATGAAATCCTTGATACGACTTTTAAAGAGAGAAAACAGGAGAGATGCACTTGATACCGCGAACTGTTATGTCTGTTCATTCAAGTCTTTCCAAAGCACCCCTTAACCCTTTTACCGGCAATCGTACATATTTGTACGACTTACATAGGTCACTCTTAAAAAAAAGCATTTTGTCAGTTTAATAGCCATCATACTAACGATGGTTTGTTTGTTTTTTCTATTAAATAAATTTTACGACTGCTAACCCCTAAACTAAGCATCCTAGGCCTTGTTTGCAGAGAATATAGTCACTTTAATGAGGGCGAAATAGGAGTTGTACACTTTTACACGTAAGACAAGAACAACAAAAAAGCCTTAATTCCTTTCCAATTGTACTGCACAAAATCCTTCATTCATGACAAAATTCAACCTTTGCAGAAAAGTTTGGCTCTTTCTATTTTGGACTGATCTGTCTTTTGTACCCAGTTGCATTGAGCAAGCCGAGAAACAGCTCTTTCTTTAGGGTACACTTCATGAGTCAAGTGTTTCTTTGAACGTTTTTCACTCCATTGTATTGAAATCGACGTTTGATCGCCATTGTCTTCGTGAAATCGCTACCCATTCCTGATTTCTTCCAGAAGATTGCCTCAGCTACATTATTCAAGCTTCATGATGCAAGTCTAGGAGCTCTTGTGCGAGAACTTGACTCAAAAAACACTTAAAAAACGATGTTTCCTGTGTTTTGACCGCGCTGATCGCTAGCCAAAGACACGAGCAAACATCTAACAGGCACCCTGGACAATATGAGCCTTCAGTTATCATAAACAGCACCAGTTTCCTTGACAACCTTTAAGATCACAAAGATAATAATTTTTTGAATTTTCGACTTTAAAAGAAGTAAAAATTCTCGACAATATCCGCCAGTTAAAAGGGTTAAATCACTTCTGAATCAACTATAGGGATAAACATGTCACCACGATATTTCTATGTAATTTCAGGAGGAGAACGCTCGTATTGAAAGAGAGAAAAGGGACAAAGAAAGAGCGGTATGAAATCAGTTATCTTTTGTTTCTTATTCACATCGAAAAGATGAATTTAACTGCATCTTTAGGATAGCTGCACTATCAGCAAAAGCTTGCTTAGCATATTCAAAGCTTTTATAAAATATGCATTATCATTAATGAGTATATAAATCCTCTGGGGGTCTCGAACGCATCCGACTTCGCACAAACGCTATCTATAGTATCATGCAGAGAGTAAGACGGAGATGGCGTGCGCTTCAGCAAACGGAGAGACACCATCTTGAGGTATGGGTGAGGAAAAAAACAGTTAGATGTGCTATCGGATCGATATTTGGAATATAGGCAAAAGTTCTTTCTCAAAGGTAACATCATTGTATGCTAATAATATAATAATATCTAATACTTTTTCGAGATGGAGGTCCTTCTTCAAAAGCAAGAAGAAGATAAAGCCAGATTGCAAGAGCTTTATGAGCAGAACTTGAAAGACCATCGCGAACAGCTGACAAACATGATGGAGGCTAACTTTGAACAGCTAAGAAAAGACAGAGAAGCTTTCTTGGCTCTTCAAAAGAACGTGGAAGACATCAAGCGTCTAATGCAAGAAAGTGAAAAAAGGAAAGGAAAATGCTTAATTCAATAGATAGGAAATGTACAACAAACTGATCAAAACAGAACATTAACAATAAAAAATAGTCATAAATATGAATCTCAATCATAGTAAGCTGTAAGCTTTCGTGAAAGGATTCATTGTTAGATATTCAGCCATAAAATACTAATAACAGCATGAACTAAATGTATGTGGAAATGTATTAAAAGCAACGAGCATTCAAGCGTTTTGTATTTAAAAAACTCGTAGTTCGTGTTTTCGGCTCGAATCTTTATACCATTATAACTGATAAAATACCATTAGTCCAGTAATTTTAGCCCAAAATTGGGACCAACCTGAAACAAATTGCAACAGAAAGTATTTCAACGGTTTCTGATAGAAATAACTATCCTCTGTAACATATCCAAAATCGGCAAAAATCGGTTCATGGGAACGTGGCGAAAAATGCCTTTAAACTTGACTAACTTTTCCTCAACATGGAAACGAGGCTAGAAAAAAATTCCTCAAATAAATGTCCTTTAAAATTGGAAAACGTTGCTAATCCTTCGAAGGAATACAAATAATGGTTAGGCTTTGTTTTTTCTTGCTTTTTTAGGTATTTTTATTTATTTATTATACTTTTGCGTATTTCATTTCGATTTCGTCGTGAAAAAATATTCATGAAGAATCAAGTAACAAGAACAGTTGACTTGACGAATTTATTGATTTCACAGATATTGAAATTAATTAATACTATGTCGCATTAAAAGCACGAATTCACCCTCGCATKCAAAGATTGTTTTCTATTCTGCTGTATTCAAGAGCTTTATAGCTTCCTCATGCGCGATGAATTGAGCTAAATCAGTTAAGAAAAGTTCAGTCACTTTATTGTTATATAAGTGTTTAAGTAAGACGTACAGAAACGTGRAGTAAACATCGGAGAACAGCAACAACAACGTAGGTTTTGTCTATGATCTACTTTGATTACATTAAGTTAATTATTTTAAAATATGTTTTAATATTTTCGTTATACTGTCAATGGAGGGCAATAACATTTGCCCGTTTTGTAATCATCCTCTCGACAACGCAGAAATATCCCAATTACGATCCAAGGGCTGCGAAACCATCACCCGTTTAAGTCGAGAGCGAAGCGATGATGTGGTGGTAGTACCAGGACAGCGTGTCCACAAGCATTGTCCACGCGGGATTATACAACTCCAAAGGGAAATTAGGTACCCACAGCAAAAGAGGCCGTAGCTCATAACAAACGACCGCTAAAACGCAGTATTGATGAGCAGTCGTTTAATTTCAAATCTGATTGCTTCTACTGTGGTACGTCTGTAAATATAAGTAAGAGTAAAGCAAACGAAGTCTACAATGAAGTATCCACGCTTGAAACGAAAGAGAAAGTGCTGGGAGCGTGCAAAGTTCGTGATGATACTTGGGCGGAGACAGTGAGATCAAGACTACTCCATGTTTGGACGACTTCGAGTTATAGGCAGTGTTGGGAGATTTCTCGCTTTTGCGCTCGTCTTTAAAATAATCGGGACAGTCTATGATGCGGTGACCACCCTTGCATGCGCTGCACTTGTGCGCGAATTTACAAAAGGCAAAGCGGGATGAACAGCATCCAAGATTCCACGAGCGTCAAGGGATGCTTGTTGTAGTTGATCCTTTCGGCTGAGTGTCTTCAATTCCCTGCGTCGGATTACGGCTTGGGATAGAACCGGCTGCATGGAAGCTGTGCAACTGCGGGTTAATTGTCGACCAGTCTGCCAGATTTGTATAGCCGCCGCGTCCTCACGAAAAGCTTTATCTTATAAAAGCCACCCGTTGCCGCCAAATTGCCCATAGGTGCGAAGAATAAGCATATTGTAGAGCGTGAGGTCTCTCCACCAATGAGGGAAGAAATTAACCAGAAAAAGTTCCGATCCAGGTAATAATATCCTCGATCAACCTTGCGACGATTGCGCTTTGAGGATGGGGTCCACAAACTTGCCACTAAGAATTTGTGCCACCACTTTCGGTTGCGGTACGGTTGGTACGGTTGCGGATCCTGGACCAACTACGAAGGGCTGAGTCAGAGCAAGAGATTGCGATATTGCAGACGAACTAACTACCGTCGTGTTTAGAAGGCCAGAAACCGTTTGCGTAGCAGAGACGAGGCTAGGCGTGGTTGTTGAGATTGCGGGGAATGTATTAACAAAGGAAGGCACAGTCCTTGATATCATACCTTGACTCCCCTGTAATGTTCCGGGTTGCGCACTTTGTAACGATGTATATAGTAGTAGTAGTAGTAGAGGCAGGGACTTGAACCACAGCGCTCACAATCATTCGGCGGTCTTGGTCAGAAAGAAAAAAAGGAAAAGGTGTTGGTTGCTAATCGTCCTTCATGGCAGCACGGCTGCTGAATTGCGATAGACGCAGCTCGAAGCGCTCTCACGTCAAAGTGCTATATTACAGACACATTTTACATACACTTACACATAGGCGTGCTGCCGGCTAGGCGCTTCCTTTACATAGCAACGAACGACTGAACGCGGAGCACAGCAGATAGAAATGGTTCGTTTTTACTGAGGGAGGAAAACCCGGAAAGACCCGGAAAAACCCTCGACGCAAGGGAGAGAACGAAAGAAACTCAAATCACATTTGGCGCCCCGACCAAGATTGGAACATGGTCCACAGAGGTGACAGGCCAGCGCCTGAAAGGACTGGAGTAGAATCTTTCGAAGTAGACGACTCAGTAGCTGATTCCGTTTCAAAGCGCGGAACGATTTTTGGAGGCATAATAATAATTGGTGAAAATCGAGTATTTTGCGATTGCAATGATGATTGTCATGTCATGTCTGTGGTAGAATAAAGGCAGGCAGACCACGTGACCTTACTGCTCCTGATTGGCTGGCCGTGATGTGTTGTCAGGCGTTGAGATCCATCGCTAAAAGCGCTATTGGTGGGTATTATCTTATAGCAAGCTGGCAACCTAACCCATTTCATATCAAGACATACATTAATGATCCCTGCTTATCAACACCAGTAGAGAATTCGATGATCGGTCGATGCTATCATTACCTTGAGTCTAACCTTGCTTGAATTACATTTAACCACGTATATAGCTATGACATTGAAGTTTATTATGGAATCCCGAAAAAACTTTCCTATTGCCAAATGCAATGTTGTATCATATCATAAAGTCAAATAATTTTAAAACTATTTATTGAGTTCCACGGATGCTTACATGCGAACTTTTTTTCATGGAATCGAAGACCGGAAACATAAACAATATTACTACAGTTCTACGTATAGTACAAAGAAAGCTAGAAATCCAGGTATGTTACCTATTCCGAAGTTCTTTAAGGTCCCAAGCCAAAAGTTAATAAATTCTAACGTCAAACACTAAGATGGTCATAAGTGTAGAAAATGCACAAAACAAAGTTGAACGAAATCCGACTAAAGAAAATGCTAGTCATAGTCGCGATTACTGAAGCAATAAATATTGCACATTTTGGAAAGCTCGATGCTGCTTAAACTATATCGCCTCTTAAGGGTTTTGTGTCCAAATTTCTCAGCCTGAGGTTGACCAAATTCTATTAATTGTTACACTTTGATAAAGGATTGATAAAAATTCCAGAACATGACATTGGGCAAAGATTTGAGGAAGAGAAAGTCAGATTGAAAGAAAGTTTTGAGAGACCACAAAGAACAGCTGGAAAACATGATAAATGCTAACTTCGAGGACCTCAGAAAAGAAAGAGAAGCGTCTCTTTCTGATGCCTTTAAAGCTATGATATTCGAAGTGAGCGCGTTGGTTATCTCTGCGTCTAATGATAATGTATTTTATGATGATGTCATAATGGAGAATAATGAATATTAATTTGCAAAATCTAATAAAGTCATAAAGTAGAAAAACGTAGTTGTGACATAACAACATCAATGGCCATGCGTTACAACGTCAAAAAGGTGCACTTTGGTACTCAAGCTCTAAGGACGATCCTCCGGGGGTGATGACCTTTGCACTAAAAGCTTAGAAAAAGTATCACTATTACTGATTCAGCTCACAACTAAATGGAAATTTGGCTTTGAAAGTTTCGAACACTATTAAACTACAGTAGATTAAAAAACGTTATTAAATATAATAACTGTATCTTTACTGTATTTCATAGCGGCCAGGGCTTGCACTATACTAATTTACAGACTTTGAGGCTGGTCATTTGACCGCCTTTGAGTGGACTTGATCTGTGCGAGAACTTTAATATTTAGAAGTTCAGCAAAGCGCTCGGAATCTATTTGACAAAAATACAAAAATGCTTTTTCGGTCCTTCGGGGCAGTGTTTTTTTTAATAGCTATTGAAATAGATTGAATTGTATTTTTCATTTGCCTTGATTGAAGCCCTGGTCCTTGTGCTACCTCCACGTAGCATGTTCAGACTAAGGCCAAAAAAAGTTAATAATAAGTTGAGTTAATAGAGTTGCTTTTCAACTCAATCTCGTTCCAGAACGTCGTTTTAGGTAGCCGCCGCAAAAGTTTTGGTTCGGGAGAAAGCACGCTAATTTTTGGGCTTCCTGTGTCCTAGACAGAAGAACGGCACAGGAAGCCCAACAAGACACGAATTCACTGTCGATAGTTTTGAACATTTTGCGATAGAATATCTTTACAATTAATTAGCTAATAATGGCCCACCTCTGAATTACTGTAGCTAAATAGCTAAAGACATTTCATTTGAATCCACTTGAGTAGGTCTTCGAGTCGATTTCTTGGCGCGCTTTTCAAATATAATTTTAGATCTGCCGTCGCCTGTGAAAAGATAGATTGCATTAGTAGATTGAATATACAAAACTCATTGTTTTCTATAATTCTTTACCGTCTTGTTGTCAGTCTCTTTGCGAAGAAGACAGAAAATAATGACCTTTTAAATTCGCCATGGACGGTTCAACGGCTTTGAATGAATGATGATATCGTATTCCCCAAAGGGATTATAGGACTCGTCATTAGCCTACGCGCGGCCATCTTCTAAGCAAACATCCCGCCCACAGTGATTTTATTTTTGCGAGATAAAAAGATGTCGAAGAATAGTCAAGATTTAAAATTCCCCACCGCCTATATTCTGTTTCTAGAACCTATTCATCTAGAAAGGAGCAACCGCAATTTATAGAAAGGAAATATTTTTGTGATATCTGATTAATTAACTACAACAAAGATAAATAAATTATTTTTCACCAAAAAAGAAATATGCAGGGAAAAAACATGAGAGAAGAGAGAAAACAACAGGAGAAAAGGGATCAACTTGTTGTATACTGTAGGAAACTGAACTTGGATTCGAACCCGGTAAATGCCGCAATGCTCAAAACCGCAAGCTTTCGTCACGAGTTAACGAAATACCCTAATACCGCACTGGTCCGCACTTATATTGACCCATGACTGATTTCATCGGATAAACTAACTCCATTTAACATTTTTTCGATTATTTTAGGGTGCAAGGGGTCTAGAAGCCGATTAGCTTCTCTATTTCTTGCCTCAAAAGATTGAGACAAATAGTAAGCGTAAATTAAAGTTGCGTCAAGTACCTCGTAATGGCATGGAAGATCCGAAATCTCAACCGGGATGTAAGTCGATTCGACGCATGAGCTTTAAACAATGTCTCGATCTTTTTTTTTTTTTTTTGAAATTAGTTGTCAAGGGTTCGAGTTCCACTTCTATCATAATCATCTTTTTATCGCTGATTCTATTATCCTATCAGTCATTATTCTTGTTGTTGTTGTTGTTGTCGTTGTTGTTGTTATTTTTTCAGAATTCAATTATTATCAATTGTCGCTATGTGTGACGTCAAAGCATAAAACGAACATTGCTGCATTAAAAGTTGAAATGCGTAAAATATTGATTACCTCCCATCTAATCCCAACCAAATACATCACTAACAAACTAGATACTGGTTTACAAACTAACAATACCAATTTTTCAACGCAAAAATAATACTGAAAATTATAATAAGTAAGAATTCTTGTTTCTAATTTTTGTTCTTTCAAAGTTTTAACTTTGAATCTATGTACACCTAGTATTTAAATCAGTGACGCGAAAAGAAAAAGAAGGAAAATTGAATGAAATAACTTCATTTGCACATCAAGTGTACTGTGTTTGCTCTGTAACGATAAGCTTTACTGAACTCTGCATACATTGTAAATTGCCTGATGAGTGTGGGTCAAACCATGACGAAACAGGTCTGTAGCAATAAATCAATGGATCATATTCAAAGCGTTTAGCT